TCAATTCAAAAAGAAAACAATGTTAATGAACTAGTTAGCAAACTTTTTGAAAATAAGGTTCATTGAAGGATAACGTCAAAAGCTATAAAGGTTAAAGTTTAGTTGACCAGGATGGTGTAGTGGTGAAGTGTGGTGCTCCCCGGTAAGGACAACAGCGCGTGTTCGTTCCCCACTGCATACACCTGTGGTCCGCAGTTTTGCAAATATCTCAGCATTTCATTAAAGTTTAGTATCAAATCAGATCTATATCAGGTTGTAGAGAACATATGGATAAAAGTTTTACTAAAAGACCTAGTCATAACTATTAATGTTACCATTAGTACTTACTATTTATTATTATTTATTATTACTACTACTAATAGTACTGAAGAATTTACTACTATAACAAAACTATTCGCTGCGACGTATTGCAACGTGATAAATTAGCGGTAGAGCGATTTATTTAAAAGGAAGAAATTAGTGAGAAACTGGTGAAGGTCAGTCGAGTTAAAGAGTTAAGAGTTTTTGCAAACAAATCGGTTCCATTCTCACGATTCGATAACTTTCCTACAAATGATGTCATCCGGATGACGTGATCGCATAGCAATTCTCGAATATCACAGAATACGTAGAAGATGTGATGAGGTGGAGTAGATGCGTGAAATAGAGACGCATCTCACAACTCTTCGTCTATGAATTCGTCGTTTTCTTGATCAGCAATCGAGAGCTCGTTATTAAGCACACATTTACTTCCATAGAAAAACAATACAATACAGCAGCGACGTTTTGGCAGTATCGCCTCCTTCAGAGCTTGAAAGGTACAATGATATACAATTAACTGGGCCGAACGCTTCAATAACACTTACAAAAAGACAAAAAACTCAATGGTAATTACATGAACAACAGCTTCTCGAAAAACTCACCGCCTTTTACGTGATTTCCTATGAGGAAGATTAGAACAGCTGATCATAGTCGATTATGGTTGATGCCCCATCCAACATCAGAAATTGGTGCGAACATAGAATATCGAACAACGCGTGCTGTATAACAACCTCGAGATTGCTGACCAAGAAAACGACGCATTCGTATTCCAATGCCGAGGTTAACAGAAAGTCGACTCTGGCAGCTCTTTATCTACATCAGAATTACTTCTTGAATCAAGTAAATCCATCCAATCCACACTTGGGATGATGACTGACTCACCTACAACGGACTAAAATTGCACTCTCTGTAGGCCGTGCCTATCTGTTTATATTCTAGGGTGCAAATTTTCAACAATTCTTACCAGCTCAGTGAACTCGTTGAATGTTCATTGCGCCTTCGAGACTACGCATAGCGATCAAATTCTGGTCGACATCTTTAGAGTCCCCAGAAGGAGAAGAGGAATATGAAACTCTGCTAGTTTTTTACCCTTACGAACGGATTATGTCATCGTATTCAGAAAGTTCTTCAGAATACTATTAAGTAAAATCTTGAGTGAAAGAAATAATGTGATGGTGGTGAACCTTCAGTCTACTGACAAAAATCAGCTACAGATTGTGGTGACAGACAATGAACACCTTGGCGCAGCAGTTTCCATCTACATACCAGTAAAATAAATGAAAACTGGGCTCAAATAGCCTTCTTCGTGAAAGCAGTTTGTTCAAGAATCAAATTCTACTTAATATTGCTACCATTAATATGACCATTACTATCATTACAATCGTTATTTATAATTTATAAAATTCTAAATGAGCTAAGCCAGGTGCATCGCTTTTTTATTAGGAAACGTTACATTGCAAATTTAAGATGGAACTGTCAGATTTTTATCGTTTTTAGTAAAAATACTAGTAACGCAAGAATTTTTCGCGTTTTCAAAGAAATTGATTAAAAGGGTAACTTTCGTCAGCAAATAGAAGGAAATTTATGAAGCCGCCTATTTTAAGAATTCATTGATAGCCTTACCTTAAATGGCTCAGTAAACAACATTTCTATCCCGAAATATTTCCATCTATGGTGATCTCAACCTTAGCAATAATTGTCACTATTTGTTCTTATTTCGCCCAATCACTCCGAAAAACATTATCACGGTCATTAAGTAGCGAAACCACAATGCCATTTGCTTCTATGACACTTACATCTTTCGTTACATTTTAATTGGCTGGAACAAGAGCAGAGAAAAACTCATTTTTTCGAGGAAACTTCGTTTAGAAACAGCGTCCGAGAAAAATCACTAGCTAACTTTTCAGAAACGGTTCAGAACGCCTTCAGAAAGACTATGAAAAGGTAAAAGATTCACGAAACACTTAATCCGCCACAGAGCTTCCTGTGATAGGTTTGTCTCGTCACACGAAATTATATTCCAGAAATCAATATAAAAAGAGACAAAGCTCTTGGCGTTGATCTATTCCTGATGGATGAGCCATGCATTCGACTTCATGAAGCATCGTTGGAGATGATTGGATGCATATCTGGCCTATACAATAACTAGCAGTGGTCTATCCATGTATTAACTCAGTGCTGCTATCTTCCCAGACAGGAATGGTACTAATTTGTCGCCGCCGAAGGGACAGAAGGCTTAGTGAGGCTGGGCGCGGGAACGAACCCATGTGTGTTTGAGAGCACTTCCAACTATTGTGCTACAAGCGCCCTTAAAAATCAATATATCGATCAATGCATCTCTGGTTTAACAGAATTTAGTCGATGGAGTTCGATTCGTAATTGAAATCTCGCAGCGATCTTCCGCCCAAACTCGTGCAGGTGACAACGTCATTGCAAACGGACGGTCGCCTCCCGGAAGATAAATGTCAACGGCCTTGGCAGGCACGCCCAAAGTGTTGACGACGAGACGAGCACATCACAACAAACATTTTGAGGGATTTCCATGAGATGGTAGAAAATGAAACACTTGAGCTACTTAAAGTTCGAGGTAAGTACAAATTCAAGTGAGCACAAGATGGAATAAAAGTCGCTGAAAACTAAATTGTTTCAGAGCTAAATGTTTGATGACGTCAGACGTTAGAAGTTATGCGTAAGTATAGGAAGAATGCTTAGACACGAAAACTATTGAAGCAATCAAGCCTACGGGTGTTTTCTTTAGTGTAAAGGAGGTAAGAGATCTGAACAATTTAAAAAAGAAAAGTCAAGAATTCAACACTAGTCAAAAATAGTGCATAAAAGTTTGAAGCATAATGCATGAGTTTCGAAGTTAATGAACTCGCCCATGTTTTTCAAGAGATTTGTCGCTAGACGGTGGTAGGTGATGATACTTCTATAACTATTTTACTGATTGATAACGATTACCTACTGTGATTTCTTTAGCATACTTTAACATAAGCCGACCGAATGTGCTGTTACTTTCATTGCTGTTATTATTATCACCAGTGTTAATAGGTCGAGAAGGGGTCAAGGAAATATTTTGTTGTCTTAAAAAGGTAAATATCACTCGATGAATATTTTTCTATATATTTATATTTATTTTAGAAACCAAACGACAACGATAGAGGAAATCCAATCGACAAAAACTATGAGAAGGCATTCGCTTCGTTTGATGATCGTTATGAAGAAACGTTAACAAGATTAAGATACCAGATAGTGAGAGTGTTCATGACGCACGACTAACGAGAACATTTTACACCAGTCCGATCGAACCACGACCCAAAAGTATGATATGCCAAAAAAATGTAATATATCACGCTTTGGTGAAAAGATCACTCGTTATTGTGGCAGGAAACTAAAAAAAGGAAAAAAAAGATGAAAGATAAGAAAAGTGACAGACGATATTAAACATTAGCTACTTCGTTGTCTGCTTATATCCTTTGGGTGAACGTCAGCAACGATTTCTCCACACAGAAATAAGCGCGTGGTGAGCTATAAAATTCATACGAGCACCATTAACCGTACCATAGGTTAAACTTTCAGCGAGCATTTCGGTTTTAATTTCGATTTTCGATATTACTTAGCTATTTATTTGCAAGACACGTCTTCACATATTGTGCAGGTCCAAGAATTTCTTTCAGTCGCTCCGTTGTTTCGCATTCGTTGTTCACCTCTTCGAATTTCGGTTATGGCACAGTTCACTGCTGAATACTTTTTCTTCTACAAAAATCTCGTTAAACTAGCCGAGCTGAGTGTTGATGGAGGCATCACATAGCTCCATTAGTGTGCTCTCAGCTTTTGGTAATCGTATGGTCGCTGTTCTCCGAGGACTGCAAGGAGCGAGTACCCCTAACTAGTTTCGTGTCAATTTCCCTAGCCGGAGAGGTATAGCGAGCTTGGTTGAATGGAAAGCATTCGAAACAACGATATGTATATTGAGCAGCGTGTCGAACAACTGTTCTTCGGATATTCTTCTGCGCATCCTGATTTGATGACTGTTTAGTTCAGTGTGATGCAGCGGCACTTCTGGTCGATAGTTCGATTTTTGGCCCCAAAATGCCAACGATAGTCGTTCATCTGCTCATGATGTCGTTTGATTAATGGCAATGTTGTTTATGTGAAGCGACATGTGACGAAGAATACATCGACGAATTTTCCTCACAAATGATGAGACACCAATAAAATTATTTTTGCAATTGAAATGTCGAAATGTCCAATAGAAGTGATGTTCGTTGCTGTGAGGAAAAGGAGAAGCTGAAGAAATACAAGAAATACCATATGTATGACTTCTTTTTTTCGTGAATAAATGATGTCCGAGTGAAAGAAGTAAATATAGCGAAATGACGAAACTTTTCTAAAGTGTAAGCTTTTCCCAATAAAAAGACTAAAGCTGAATAGGAACAAAATAGCTACAAGAAATATGAATGACTGGCAAAGAACCATAGAAGTCAATTTGTGAGACAACCATTGATAATTCAATAAATTTTCTTCCTCTTTGATGAGCACAAGTATTGAAAAAGTAGAAAATGTGTACTTTACGCCTATACAGTACAAAAATCCAGGTAAATCATTGGAACGAAGAATTTTTGTTTTACGTGCTAAGTGGAAGCTTTCATAAATATACTTGAATAGAAACTGGACAGAAAAAACTGAAAGGACATCCTTCAATTCACAAGCCATAAATTAAAAATAAAATTGTCTTCGAATGCAGGAATCATATTTCGTGACATTCCAGAAAATTTTCGAGCATAAAAGTCTACTTTTTGGTACCTGTCCGCTACGGTAACAGTTTTCACTGTTGGGTCAACAAGAAGTGGTCCTGTTGGCTGTGATGGTTCGGTTTTACGTTTCCGCTTTCCGCCACCTTTCTTTAGTCGACGGAACTGCTCATACCAGCGATTTATTTGAGCTAAAATAAGGATATTAAGTCGGAAGGGATTATAAAGATGGAAGCTTCACTGATGCTTCACGGCTTTAGCTGAATATAGCTATGTTTTTAGTAAATGTCGATTTTCCAAATAACTTGCCAAAAAAATTTCAACGAGAGGAAAGAGGAAAAGTGAGGAAAATGAATGGTGAGAAAGCAACACTGGCAATTAGTGTTTTATATCAAAGAGATGTACAAGTTTATAATCCGAACAATTCACAAGCCATAAATAGAAGATGGCGCCACACTGCCCTGCGCTACGTAGGCTCCATTAGAGGTGGCTGGGGCCAGATAAAGTTGTGCTAAATGACTTTTGAGTTTAGGCGTACACGGAAAATCTTATGATGTGCAGGAATTGGAAGCAATAATAAAGCACGATCTTCATCCGATTAAGATTCTTGTGTGAACTATCCATACTCGCAGGAAAAGAGCTAAAAATTTCCCGTAATTATCCACTAACCAATTTTCTAATCCAAAACAGTGAGTAAAAGTCGCTCTATTGCTTCCCTGTTCGAGAACGTAAGGGTCCGTTTCGCTCTAAAAGCGACAGAACTAAAACGATTTCAGGAGTTCAAATTCGAGGGATGTGATGGAATGCAATATTCACGGCAGGCAGTACTTCTCGCAGCGCCTTGTTTCAAATTTTCCGCATCAAACAACCATCGAGTTCAAGATAAAGGTTTAAATCCGCCAGGGATGTCTCACTTATTCGATTTCCTTAAGCGAATTAGAAGTTACGGATTGCATAATTTGGTCAATACAAACGGCTTGCCTAAGGTTTCAGATGAATCAAGTCTCTGCTTTTGTCGTCTAGGACAAGTTTGGTATACACTTCCCGAGTTCAAAGTAAAAGGTGTTTTCTTAGTCTAGGATGCGGATTCCAACCAAAGACTTTGTAGGTATAGCAGGGCATCTCTAACTACTGTTCTTCTACCCAATCGCAGGAACCGTTACATTCCGTTAAACTCCTAGAAAGAGTTGCATTTGACTCGCTTTTTCGTTAGACTTAACTGAAATATAACAGAGTGGTAAGAAAATTTTGTTGGTGATTGCAGATGTGGTCCAAATCTAAGGAACATTTGTGGCCATTTCGTCTCTCAAGAGGATTAACAGACGACAGCACAACCAAGGGCAATTAGTCCAATCAAGTGTCAGCCGTTCAAACACCCCGTGAAGTTGTAAAGGGAGAATGTTTGAAAAACGAAGAAGGATGAAAAGAAGGAAACCGCTACCGAACAAAGAAGGAATCACATGGATGGACCACACATTTTGACATTTCCCAAGATCGACTTTTTATTAACCTCGCCACTGGATTATAAATCTGTTGCTTTCTCAGCAAACGCGAGGTTGTTAAACAGCATATGTTTACTTCCATACAATAACACACATACAACACAACCGTAGCTAACGTTTCGGCAGAATCGCCTTCTTCAGAGCCGCTTTTTTCACCTGTCTTCCATCGTGGAAGAACAGCCGCTTAGAATCCTCGTACTTGTTGGCTGTCCTCTGGTTGACTGCATATCTCGTGAATCGCTTTCATTCTTTGAACTCCGGCACGACTCAATGCTGAATGCAGCGGTGGAGAAAGTGGATCTGTTGTCTACTTAAGACGATCTTTCACATTAGCGACAGCGCTTCCTTCACAATTCTTCACTTCACAAGTGTATTGCTGATACACCTCGTAACAGTTCCTAAGATCGACTTTCCATTAATCTCGGCATTGGATTATGAATTCTTCGTTTTCTCTCTCAGCAATCGCGAGGTTGTTAAACAGCATACGTTTGCTTCCATACAATAACACACATACAACACAACAGTAGCTGACGTTTCAGCAGAATCGCCTTCTGCAGAGCCGCTTTTTTCACCTGACTCTGAGCGGCTGTTCTTCCTCGATGGACAGGTGAAGACAGGTGAAAAAAGCGGCTCCGAAGAAGGTGATTCTGCCGAAACGTTAGCTACAGTTGTGTTGTATGTGTGTTATTGTATGGAAGCAAACGTATGCTTTTCAACAACTTCGCGATTGGTGAAAGAGAAAACGACACATTTTGACACTTCCGATTTCTTTTTGATTTTTTCTGTTGCGATAAAAAATCGCACTCAGTGCTATACAAGATCGTTTTTTACTTTCTTTATACAGAAAATGAAAGTTAAGAAAACTGAATGAAATTGTTATCTTTCTTAACTGAGACCACGAAAATATTAATAACGAAATATTTTTCATAAGAGTGGCACACTTACAACTACGTGAGTAGTATGTGACTCACACACATTATTATGTCGCTATAATTGCCTGTGAAATTGATAAATTCTTGATTTACCTATTGATGAGCTAACGTGAAGTTAGCTTATCAATAGAAAAAATACATCTTGCAAATGCCATTTAATTTAATTAGAAAGTAAAGTAATGTAAGGTTTACAAAACACTGATTGTTGTCAATGTGTCAAAGAAAATGCATAGATATAGGATAAAAGCTCTCTGCGTTGATCAATTCCTGAGGGATGCGCCATACATTCGACTTCATTAAGCATCGTTTGGAGGTGATTGAATGCATATCTGGCCTTTACAATGAGTCGCAGTGGCCTGCCAATGTATCGAGCCAATGCTGCTATCCTCTCAGACAAGTCTGGTACCAATTTGCCGACCCCGGAGAGATGGACGACTTGGTGGGCCAGGAGCGCGGGAATCGATCCCATGTGTGTGTTGGAGAGCGCCTACGTTCACTGCGACACATGTGTCCTTGGGAATTATGACTGAAAGTCTCTAAGTCGGAATCTGATCTAGTCAAAGTGACTATAACTTTGCTTCCCGGTGTCGGAAAGTAACAATATCTCATGACATATAACATGAGAATTTATGGTCTGGTACGTGGCTTTGTCGACCGGTGTGGATAAACCATGTTGGTTGCCAAAGACATCACTCTGGTTCAATGTCGGAGTGCAAAACCACATGGATACGACATATACACTGGTCAAATGCAAAGAACCAGAGTTGTTTTTTTGCAAAATGATATAAAATAGATAAATGAAGAGACTTTTTGTGAATTCCACAGCGCTCTCTTCCTTTCTAACCTTCGAAACCCCAAGATTTTCCACAATTAGACAATTTAAACGACTTAACCTTTTTATTTACTGACTTTTTCTTTTTAATGGCAGGGTATGTTGCGAAATATAACTCGTATATAATGCTGAGATATTTGCGAACCTCCGCACTGCAGGTGTATGCGGTAGGGAACGAACCCGCACTGTTGTCCTTACCGGGTAGCAGCGCACTTCACCACCACACCATCCGGGTCCTTCGTTTTGCCTGTCTCTCAGCTAGTTCTATCGATCTTTTTGCCATCAGTAATCACCCGTCAACGGGATTGATCTGGGGAGCTCAAATTGGCATTGAACCCAGTTAAGCTGAGGCTTAGTTAAAGTCACAATCTTAACTCTTTTATTTACTGCCTTTTTCTTTTTTAGCTGAGAGGCAGACAAAACGAAGGACCCAGATGGTGTGAAGGTGAAGTGCGCTGCTCCCCGGTAAAGACAACAGCGCGGGTTCGTTCCCCACCGCATACACCTGCGGTCCGTAGTTTTGCAAATATCTCAGCATTATATACGAGTTAAACGACTTAATTTCAACTACATTGATTACTGGAAATTCATTAATGTGAACTCACTGGCACTTCCTTTACTCAGAAGTTTTCGATGCGTAAAACATGCTGAGATAAGCTGATGTGCAAGAGCAAAATCGAAACCTTCTTTGATGCCATTTTCAACGGCTACCTAAAAACGACTGTACACTATGACGAATTCCTATTTAAATACACATAGAATCGAATATTGATTAGCAGGATTTTCGATCGATTATAGGAAATAAGTTATAATTGTGTGCTAGGAAACCACAGACAATCGTCTATGTCGTGGTGTGAACGTGTTCGTAAACGTCCAAAAATCTTGGAGTCGTGTGGTATTCACTGTTATTGTTGAAACTCCCAGATGTTTTGCTGGAACATCTCTTAATAACTCGAAAGACCGACTTTCTATAAACCTCGGCATAGATAGTTGATATATTTATTTATGTGGTCTTATAAAGTGATCTTCTTAAGCTGACGCAAGGTTGGTACAGATCTTCGTTGTCGTTGTCGTTGTTTTTGATGTTATTGATTGATGGCTGACGTTTCGGCGACTTCGCCTTCCTGAGAGCCGTGATATTTCGTGTGGGACAACGACAACGAAGACCTGTACCAACCTCGCGTCAGCTTAAGGAGATCAGTTTATAAGATCACATAAATAAATTCCGAGATAGTTGTCAATATGCTAATCAACCCATTAATACTGGTTGGAAGAAGAGCACGTGAAGTGCAATGGTTAGAAGTATTTTGCGATGCATACATGGGTACGATTTCGAGCACATACTGCTATCCTTTCCAGGTCGGAAAATTCGAACTAGGCTTCTCTCAAAGGTTAAAAGCACACTGCTTGTTAATCGATATAATTATTTGTGCTTTCTTATGAAGCGATCTCGTTGAGCTTGTGTGATACTATTTGGTACTTCATCATCCCTTGTAACTTATTATGTGGACCACTAATATGTAATCGGTAACTCCCGAGATGCAAATGGATTCAGATGCATGCCACATATTAAGAGCTTCAACGCCGAACCCCTTATGGTCTATCCTGTATGGTTAGAACAATTACGTAGTAAAAGGAGACCGGTAGCTAATGAACGCGTTATTTGGTTTTTTTGGCAATATCCTAAAATTCGATGTTGAATGTTAACAAAATCAACCTGGGAGTTATAAAAAGCAATGATTCAATAAGAGACTATATATATCATATTCATTCCTCTATACTGTAATTCCGTTAGCAGAAAACTTAAATGGTGAGCAACTCTAGGTTCTCTATGATCCCTATCGCCCGCTAGAGTTACTACTCAGTAGATATGACGTTAGCTCAAAAACATGACGAACAGATTCTCATATTCTGTCTCTAGAGAGGTATAGATACTTCCGAATCATTTGATTGCAGAGTTCGTGACAAAATGAACGTCGGGCAGGGTAAAATTTGCATCGAAGAAAGTGCACACCGTTGCCTATATATGGATACGATTTCGTTCATATGTGGAAGATGAAGAAAGATTTAGCACATTATTGACAACTTTCCCCATATCCTAACCTATACCGCCTCCATTTCACGGCAACTCGATATCATAGTGGTCCGAGTTGCAAGCCACATTCCCCCACCCAAAAGACGCGCCACGTAGCCTTGTGGCTAACAAATCGGTTCGGGATCCCTCATAGGAAGAAAATATGTGGATCTAAGAAGTAACAAAGAAAAAAAACAGCAACAATGATATGTTGTTGAAAAGTAAATAGGGCCATATTAATGATAACTGTAACTAAAATGGCAACGATGGTGATTATATGAATTAACACACAAGAATTAAGTGGGGGGAATCTTTAATGGAAAAGTGTGAAAGTAAGAATATTATTTTACGTTCTTTGTTGTTCTTGCTCTAAATTGGAATACAGCTTTGACTCTCTTCAACGCTATCATTTCCTTTTTTTTACACATTTGACGCAGTGGGACAGCCCAGTACCATTATTTTAAGATTCTGGGAAGGTTCGACTCGACCAGCATTCAGCGATATTCTGTTCAAAGAAGAAAAATCCTTGAAGGGCAGCTGAAGCCGCACGTAGAAAAAGTTCGTTGACTTAGATGACTTTCGTGAATGGTGGATGCGAGAAAACGAATCGAATGCAGGAGGTGCTGGGATCCGCAAATGTGTGATGCACGTGATGCCGCGTTACATAATAAACAATGTTTTATTCATTTGTTAACTTCATTATATTTTATACGACGATATTTTATACAATATATTTTATGCAGTATTAACGTCTAGTGGACGGATCCCAGCACTTATCACATTCGATTCGTTTTTTCGCATCCATAATCCACGAAGGTCTTCCGACTTTTTACGTGTGGCTCCGGCTGCTGTTTGAGGATTTTTCATTTCAATTTAAACGTCGTAGAATGCTGGTCGAGTCGATTCTCACTAAAATCCTAAGATAGCCGGGTTGTAGCGTTCCCATTTGGATTGAAGAGAGTGAATTTTTTCAAGGACAAGTTCGCTACCAATTTCCCCACTCCAGAAAGATGAGAGGCTTGGTGAGCTTAGTGCGGGATCGAATCAGCAGTGTCTGAGATGACCGGCATCGCTACCACTGTGCTATCCACCTCCTTATAAATAATGAAAAAACAAAAATCCAGATAACTACAGATAAAAAGTGAAGGAAATTGAGGTTACGAGAGCTATATGAAAATAAATAGATCGCATTAATCACAGAAATGGCCAATTTGGTATGTTACGTTAGAGTCATCGATCGACTTCCAGACAAATCACAGGATTCGTAGTTGCTGTAGGAGAATCGCAATCGTAAGCCACTGAAGTGCCTTCGACCCACTTAAGATTCACACACTCAGTTGTGAACATCTGATAACACTCTAGCCATATTATCTCGGGATTCCAGTAAAAATTATGAACGAGCAGCATTCAACGCATCATTGAGCTGAGAACAGGATAATTCTTAGGCTACGATCGAACTCACACATATACACGATTGCTTTCACAAATAACTCGTATAAAATAACGAAATGAATAAAAAAAAGTGCGTGAGAGCTCAAGACATTTGAGGACGGTCCATGTGCGTGACCAAGCGGGTAAGTAATGAGTAAATAAGTTTATACTAAGATTGACTGCAGTAACGAAAAGAGTCAGAAAGTGATTTGAAGTGCCCTGCAACACACACAAGGTCGATCGCTGGTTCGATCCTGGAGCTCAGCATCATTAAGCTTTCCATCCCACCGGGTTCGGAAAATTGGTACCAAACCTGTCTGGAAGGGATAGCAGCACCGACTCGATACATCCGTAGGCCACTGCGAGTTAACGCACAGATCAGATAGGCAGTTAGTCACCTCTAACGATGCTTGATGAAGTCGAATATATGGCACATACCTTAGAGATTGATCAGAGTGGAGAGCTTTATTCTCATTTTTCTGCTCTCCAGAAAGAATGGAATAATACTTCGCGTCAGGTCAACAATCACGTCTACAGTACTACGAATCGAATCAAACGCATGGCGCATCCAAAGTGAATTTATCAATGGCAAACGCTTTATGCGTAACGTTTTGATGATGCACGCAATCGGATTTCGTTGCTACCTTATTCTATTTCCAACCTAACGTAGCAAACTTCTTCTTACATCACTATGATCTGGTACTTTCTCATTGTGAAGCACCTACGAAACTCCTCGCAGTATGATGTTTTATGAATCCCTATAAGCCAAACCGATCAAGAACACACGCAGACATCCCATCAACTCATAATACTTCAGGAAAGATTTATGTTGATCATATGGAGTCGGTCATGGTGGTGACAAGACCGGTTCTCGTAACATAGTGGCTAGCAGCTATGACAAGATTAATTTCGACTAACTGAATGGATTGAAAAGATTTAAATTCAGATGGGATGAAAGAATCTACGAGGAAAGGAAACACCAATTACAAAAATGTGCGTTTTTTTAACTTAAGAAATGAGATCGGCAAGTGTTTGAATTTTTGAAATTGGAAGAACTCGAACCGACTAAGAAATTTTTTAAAGATAGATTCAAAAAAAAGAGAAAAGGACTTCTACACGATCGAATTCGACCTTAAAACTAGTTTTTAGACGATTTTCCGTGGTTGTACTAGTGTTAAATACTAAAAACAATACTAAATACTAAATATACAATACTACTACAATACTGTTAAATACTAAAAACAAAGAACATCACATTATTATTATAAACCATTACTTGCTAAGAACTTCGTTGCAGCTGTTTAATCACAATTTTCCTAATATAAACCCCTAAATCCTTTGAAATGAAGTGCTGACAGATCCATAAAAGCGGCCGACAGCATCAGATGCAAACGAGCGCAAAAATTTTCGTTGACTGAAAATGTACCTGTTCGGTAGAAAATAAATCCAAGAACTGATAGTAATATACATAAAATAGTAGAAACGAAACTACTCAATGACATATACTCCATAAATGGGTTGTGGAGCCAAGTCGTATTGTCTACTGATCAGCTCGGTAATTAGCGCTTTGCCAAATAGAAAAAAGACGAAGGCAGCTTTTGGAAAAACAAATCAACTAATGAGTAAAGAAAAAGTGGTATTGAATAAAACATTAATATTCTTATGCTTCTCCCTCGCAAAGGTTTACCGCCTCATCGTGGCTGGGAGGTGCTCCTGGTTGTTGGACAGCAATGTAGAGCGAGGGGAATGTCCCTTCGGCAGGTTCTCCCAAGCTGAGAAGGAGCCCGGCGTTTCCATCAGGAAGCCTAGCTAAGAGTAAACCAATACCAGGATCCACCACCGTCCTAGTATCAAAGTCGCATGGTGGCAAACCTCTCTCTGATCCACAAGGACTGCGACTGCCTGTGGTAGTCAAGACCTGGGGCAGACTTTGGCCAGGCTGAACTCGGGATTTCAAAGAACTACAATGGCTTAACCAGCAAATCTCCGAGCAATGGTGATTATGCTGGGATCCGCATAGCCAGTGAGGACGGGCCGTTCAAGTATCAATTATCAAGTAAGTATTCTTGTATGTCTGAATCAGCCTGCTCGTCGTTAGCATTAGGTTTGTTGACTAATCGCAAGAATGGCTGTCGCTTTGGAAAAAAAACAGTCACAACGTGGATATACTCGCTGCGATCCGCAAGATTGTTGCTCCTGCAGAAAACTCACAATAGTAGAATTACGAATAACAGCCCGATTTCAAAACCTATTTTCCTTTAACCTTGGCATAAATAATCAATATGTGTTCTTTCTTTTGGTAAATCCACACGAGGTTGACAAACAATTTTTATCCGGCTAAGGTTTCGACGTCTTCGTCTTCATCAGAGCTAAGAAATTGTTTATCGACCTCGTGTAATCTTATCAAAGAAAGAATACATAGTAATTAGACATGCAGAGATTAAAGGAAAGTCGGTTCTGAAATATTGTTTTGCTCTTTGCAAGCTCATAATGATACCAGCTTCTACAGGATGGACTGACCGGAAAAAAACAAGTTGTTATCGCCGGACGAACACTAGTACCCACAACCGCCTTGTGTAAAAGAGCATCGCCAGGTGAGTAAGCCTCCTTCGAGAATTGCTCCACCAAGAAAGATCCGACTCGATAAGCAGAGGAAGATGCCACATCGAGAAGGTGAACAACTGTGGATCATGACTCGGATCATCGGCCGTGATGAGGATGAAGACTTCGAAACGTTAGCCGAATAAAAATTGTTTATTAACCTCGTTTAAGGCTACCAAAGAAAGAATAAGCAATAGTATGATTGTTCTATGCTTCCGATGCTTTCTCTAATGGATTCAATTCGATGCGACAACGAACAGACATATCGTGACGGCAAGCGACCAGCTTGGGACCATCAACTTGGATCAACGTGGCTCTGAAGAAGACATGCGCATATAATTGCTGTTTCTTTATTATTTTTGCTATTAAATGAGAAAGACAGCCAAATTGATTGGAAAACCAAAAAACAAACTCGATACACTGGGTGCTCACCCCCCCCCCCCCCCCCCTCCACCCCTCCCAAGCCACAGGGTTGCCCTAGACTGAACATCTATTCAACAAATTATATAATGCTTAATGGAATCGAATGGATATCATTATGTGTGCATAAATATATTCATACGTTCCTGTACGAAGAGGACATTGCATTTTGATGCGCCCAAGAACCCTCGTGAGCTCTGGCTCGAGTAATTGGTAACTACACAGAACCAGCTTCAAGACAATTTCAGTTACCTCGACTTCTACTTTGGGTAAAAATGACATGTTACCGCATTAGTATAGCTACTCCATCGTGGCAGACCCTGGCTAGACACTGCAGATATTCCATCACGAAAAACACTAAAATCAAGAGGGTCATAAGAAAATGTTACGATTTTGGTGTTTCTCCAAGGTATGCTCGTTGGCTACAGTGGTATACAACGGAGAACTATGAGGATCTTACTGGTGTAAGTTTGACACAAGTGATGTGAAATTACTTACTTACTTGGGTACTTGGACGGTCCGTCTTTGTGCAGAGCCCAGCACATATACCATTCGTTCCCTTCTCTCGCAATTGTAGTCCATGGCGAAGGTCTTGTTCGAGCATAGTAACGCTTGCGAATCCCATACCGTGATCCGTAAAATAACTGCAGCTGTGGGTACAGCTGATCAACATTGTTTACGAACACGTCCGCCCGTGTAGGTGGTCGTTTAAGGAAACCTTTGCGTCCTTTGGAACCTTCGTCCAAGGGGACGTTTGCATTCTCTTGGAGTTCACTCTACTGTTCCTTTCGCCCATCTGTCGTCTGTTCTTCTCATTATGTGACCGGCCCATCTATGTTTCGCTGTCGATGTATATTCTGCTGGATCTCGAAAATGTGACAGATTTCGAAGGTCAGAGCTTCACATTCCGGCTACATATTGAGGGTGCTGGTTATATTTCAGAAGACATCGCTCAAGCGCTCTGTGAGTAGTTCAAAGTATTCTTAACGTAGTCGAAGTATCAACCCGCGTCTCTGCAGCATAATAGAGAGCTGGGAAGACCGTAGAATCAAAGAGATGAGAGCGGATTTTCGAGTCCTTCAGTTGGTGGGTGGCTTCCTTGAGAGGCCCGAATGCTGCTGAAGCTGCTCTCCATCTTCTATTTAGTTCCTCCTTCATGTTGTTTTCCATGTTCATCGATCGCCCCAAGGTAAACGCAGGAGTTGGTCTCTGCAATGAGAGAACCTTCCAATTCAATTTTTTCGCTTTCACAACATGAGTTTTTCATGAACTGGGTTCTATTTCGATTTATGCTAAGTCCGATCTTTTTCCCCGCTTCGTTGAGCTCGTTGACCATCATCTCTGCTTCGCTAGTACTTCTTGAGAAGATGACAATGTCATCGGCAAAACGAAGGTTTGATAGGAATTTTCCATGAATACGTACGCCTTTCTCATCTAAATCGAGTGACTTCATTATCCACTGCAGTGCCGCACTGATGAGCTGTGGCGATATTGTGTCGAACTGTCGAAGCCCTTTTACTATGCGTATTGTAAGAGATCGATGAAGAAGCCTTATTTTCGTAGTGCAGTTGCGATAATAGTCGGACAGAGTTCTTATGTAGGACGGGTTCACTCCTTGGTCGACGAGCGCTGATAGGATTGCATTCGTTTCGAAACTATCAAACGCTTCTTCATAGTCGGCAAAAGTTAGGACTAGAGGCAAGTGGTATTCCCGACAAACTTCGATTACCCTGGACACAGTTTGGATGCGGTCCATGCAGCAAAATCCTTTTCGAAGTCCCGATTGCACGACTGGTTGCGCCTTATCCAATGTCCTTGACATGCGCGAGAAGATAATCTTCGTGAAAAGCTTGTAGAGTACACTTAACAAGCATATGGGACGATAGTTACGAAGATCCTTTCAGATTCCTTTCATAGGCAGGATAACCGTGCGCAACGTCCTCTACTGGTCTGGGTTTTTTTTCCTTTTAAAGGTAGCCTGTCATATGATCTGCGAGAAGTACATGTGAATTGTGGCCTCCAGCTCTAAGGAAATCGGCAATATTATTATAGAGACCTGGGGCTGTGCCTCTTTCCATGGTTTCTATAGCAACTCGAACCTCCGGCGGATGAATTCCAGGTGGCTTTTCTCCAGCGGGGGACGGGGATTGTGGAACGGAAAAGGCGACTTTTTCCTCGCGGTCGATGAAGAGAGTTTTTTTCCAGCTTGCAGCTGAATCGAATCTTCGCGCGAAGAAACCGGTGATCGGAACCAGTACAGTACGACGAGACTACCGATGTGTCAAATAGGCCCCATCTTGTGTTTGTCAGAATGTGGTCGATTTCCGCATGACTCATAGCGTTGGGAGACTCGCATGTCCAGCGGCGGCTTTCATTCTCCTGGAAAAACGAGTTTCCATGGAAGAGACTTGCTGCTGGCAGGAGCCCTGCGAGATGGTTCCCATTCTTATTTCTTTCTCCTAATCCAAAATTTCCGATCCTGTATTCGCTCTTGCTGGCCTTTCCTATTCTGGCGTTGAAGTCTCTAACAACAAATTTATGATATGCTTTATCACTGCTGATGACTTCCTCCAACTGATAGTAGAACGCATTTAATTCGTACTCATCAGCTGCGTCAGTTGGTGAGTAGCAGTTGATGATAGCGATCCTCTTATGATGCGACAGTTGAAGACGGAGGATGGCTATGCGAGAGGAAAGGATCACGTATAAGTCGACGAGACGGACAATGGACGGGTGGACGACAAAGCCTACGCCACCGACATTTCGTGACGGAACCTTTTCTCGACGGATCACAAGGGTCCCGTTGTTTAGTTGCAGTGTGTCGGTCTTCTTGATTTTTGTTTCTTATAATGCGACCACATAAAATTTAATGCCATCTGTGGCTACGAGAAGGGCGTGAAGATCGGTGTCTGTGGAGAATGCTCTGGCATTATACGTGCGTAGTAAGAAGCAATCTCCATGACGTGTCGTGCGTGTGTTCGTCAGATCCGGTTCCAATGACGTCCTGCGAAACCCGAGAATTTCTGGCCTCTCACCGGTCGTCTCACCGCCTGACGTCATAGGTAGGAACATCCAGTGTGCAGGGTACTGAGGCTGGCCTATTGCTGGTCGTGCAACTTGGTGCTCCCTGGAGTCCTGACGTAACCTTTCAAGGGTGTATCCAAGTCTTCACGACGATGTGGATCAGAGGGAGGTGTGTTTTCGGCAACGAATCCTTTGCTCGGTTTTCCTACTAGTTGATTCGGAGAGATGTTAAAACCGAAATCAGAAACGAAAGTAGGAATGTAAAAGTAACCGACTGCTCAAGGACGATGTAGAAGCCGATGTGAGAATAATATTAGTATTTTAATTAATACAGTTGTATTTTTGGAAGTTAGTCTATTGTATCGTATTCGACCGGTCGATCAGCCAATCATGCTATCGCTTCATTAACAGGACTCGCCATAACCATGCAAGGACTCTAGTCACTAAGCAGAAAATTTCCTTCCAATTCAGAAGCTTCCATAACTGTTGGAAGTTGCGTTGTCTTAGAAAGCCTCTGCATGACTAGGTCAAGTTGGGAGGCAGAGAAAAGCTGAACTATCGCCAACTTTGCAAAAAAGAGAGAAGGTGACACTTCCTCAAGCTGTGACTAACACACAAGACGTCGGACACCTTTACTGGTGACGGCTGAAGGACAATGAAACGAATTGAAGAACACGAGCTACCTAGATAATTATTATTAATGTATACTTCTTTATTTCAGCTAGAATTTCTTCACGGTAGAATATTATGCGAAATACAACTACAATGACAATGAGATATTTGCCAAACTCAGACTCCAACCCAGATTCGAACCCATGATTACCGTTTTTGCGGGCTCATGTGTTACTAATTGCACCACTAGGATCTCTGGCACCGCTAGAGCAAAAGAACTGGCCGAGAGAACGGTAAGGCAAAGATCTCAGTGGATCAGTGAGTCACGCGAGAACTCCTGGAAAGGTTGATCGCGGATTCGAATCCAGTCTGAGAGCTGAGTTTTAAATAGTTTAAATTGTAATAGTAACTTTTTTTTACAACCTCCCAATGGGTCTCGCCTCATTGTAGCCGGAAAGTGTTCCTGGGCGTCGGCCTGTGATGTACAGTGGGGAGATTTGTCCCCTAGCATGGTCTCTCAAGCTGAAAACGAGCCCGGAGTTTCCATCAGGAACCCAGCTAGCTAAGAATAAACCAACACCAGGATCCACCACCTTCCTAGTATCGCACTAGTCGCAATGTGGCAAGTCTCGCTCTGATCTACAAGAGCGGCGGCTGCCTGCGGAGGTGACGACTTGGTGCAGACATTGGCTAGGCTGACCTCGGGTCTCCAGAGAACCACAGTGGCTAAACCAGCAAAACCGAAAAAAAATGGGAATTATGGTAGGACCGGCACAGCCAGTGAAGACCTGTCATCCAAATAAATTTTTATAGACATCTCAACATCATTTTGGTTGCATTATTAACGTATTAATTATTATTTGTTATGAACAACGAAAAAAGATGTCTTGATGAAGTACCAAGTGTAATGGTGGAGGAGTAAATAAAATTAAATAGCTTGAAATGGAAAATGAAAAGTGAAGTAAGCAAAATTTTGGCAGATTTTAGTGACAGTGACGACAGAGGAAGAGACACAGAAGAAGTCGATAGTGATACCTGTAACGCAGCCAGAAGATTTTCCTCAAAGTACGATGAGAACGCTCGTTGGTCCGCACACCACTGCGTGAGTTCTGTGCATGCCGAAGGAAATGAATTCTCTTCCATGAGACTCTGAAACTTTAATCCTCAGTTACGATGGCGAGGACAGGAAGATAAATATAATAGAAAAAATAAATTATAGGTGAATAATCTTTTGAATTAGTGGTTAACAGTTCTGTACCTTTCCCTTATTCACATATCTCCACCTCACTGAGGATGCGAATTGCTATATTACTGTATGAAAATGTAGAGGTAAGAATAGGAAAAGAGTAAGTAGCTGCAGTACTGTGTTTCTTGGCATATCTCATTGACAGGTTCGTTTCAAGTTTCTTTAAATGAATTCATTTTTGCTTTATTTTACATGAATCGTTATCAAATCTACGTAAAAGTCACAAAACGTCTTGCATTCGACTCGTTATTCTCGCATTCATCGTCCACGATGGTCCTCGAACAGTTGGCGTGTTGTTTTGGATGTTGGCTGAGGACTTCTTCTTTATGAATGTCGTAGAATGCTGGTCGAGTAGACATTTCTTCCAGTTTTGGAGATAGCCTGGCAAAGACGTTCCCACGTGGACCGGAGGAGAGCGCTGAGAAGAGAGCCGAACTAGCGCCTTTGCTTCCTGATCGACGGCATCACTTACGACTGCGCTACCCTCTCCCTTATTTTAAGAAGTTTTCCCATTCTATTATACATCAGGAAAGATTTAAACTTTTATCTAATGTTTAGAAAATTCACTATCTTTAAGATTGGCCAAGCTGCAAACCGATATGGGATTCTCATAAGGAACACCAGTTAAGAGGAATGATGTCACTGGAAACTCGTCGAGCTATTCGTGGATATATCTTAAGCACCGACTTTTATTTAACCTCACAACAATAACAAACAGCTTCCTTAATGACTGAGCTGACATGAGGCTGGTCTAAAAACTTTCATTCGGGTAAAGTTTCAGCGCTTTTGCCTTCTAAGAGCCGCATTATTGATGGACACACGGTTTATTTGATGAGTATTGAGAACTGATGAGCACTATTGATCAAAGCCCAAGTTAAAAGAGAGCCGGTTCTGCAACTTGCTACGTACTCGTGGATAGTTTTTCGTACAAAAAGTCTGATCTGATTCGTGTCTATCGGAAATGAGATCTACAGTTTCAGCCGTTCATTGGTTCCAAGGTTATCCAAGCCCAAAGGTGATCGGGATCGAAAATTCTTGTCCGGAAACTCAGCCAACAGTAAATCTATGTCACAACAAGGAATAGAGAGCATGTTTTGATTAGTTCTCAGAATGAAAAAATTTGATGCTGTTCGCGTTCTTCAATGAAACGAAGCCCAATGAGCAGCTGCAGCACTCAATGTGTACGAATGGAATCTTTATCGATGTACGACCTGGAGCTTTATCTACTTCCGTGACTATTGAATGAATTATAAGCTTAATAGGTAATCTGGGAGCAATATAAAAACGCTTCAGGTTTTATAAAAACGGTCCGAATAGAATATTATTCTCTAGTAATCATCCTATTTAAACGAATCAACAGATGGTTTATATCATTTATATTTATATTTACATACTGTCATTAAGTTTCTACAAAATTTTAAGCAGAGCAAAGGCCTCCGTGGTGCAGAGTGCAGTGCGCGAGCCCATTGTGGTTCGATCCGGCTAAGGTCCAAATTTTGTGGGTATCTCAGCACCGATATATATATATATATATACATGTATATATGTATATGTATACATATATACATACCTATATATATATACATGTATATATGTATATGAATAGTTAGCGTTTCATCGCCTTTATAACCACATTTTTTAACATTTACCAAAAATAGCATGATTAGAAAACATTCCTTTAAATACAAGGTCATGAAAGTTGAAGAAGTTTCATTTACTTCAAAGAATTCAAAGTTCTCGTATATGCAAACTTGACTGCATTTAGTATTCTTCATTGGGAAAGAATTTACAAAACTATATAGGAAGGCTATGAAATCCTTTCTAGGGTTGTCACACCTCTTTAAGAGAAACGGAGAATATTCCGATATTCTCTATAACTTCTGGTTCTTTGCTTCTATTAAAAAGAACAACTTTATACTCAGATGAACGGACAGTTTTTCTAAGTTTCAATTTCGTATTGTTCATTCGATTAGTACTAGCCGTACTAATTCACTGCCTATTCTTTCTTCATGGCACGATATTATGCGAAACAACCATAAGGATGTCGAGACATGAGCAAAACCGGAAACATTAGTTGAACCTCAAACCCTTGATTACCGTTTCCTGAGGTCCACGTGTTATCCACTGCACCAATCGGTTGGTGCAGGATAGTTGCGCGTTTGGAGCCATTTCAAAATCATTGTGGTGCCCAGAATTTCTCACATCGGTTTCTAGATGAACAAAAGTCATACGAGGTCAATGGCAACATCGTCGTGAATAGCGTTGCATTTCACTACAATGCCGTACATCCGGTTATAGCGCCACCCTTAGCGCAGTGGTTAGAGGTGCCATGAAATACAAATATGATCATTGGTTCAATCACCGCATTGCAGACTCACCAAACCTTCCATCGCTCCGGCTCGGAAAATTGGTACCAGATCTGTCTGGGTGGGTAGCAACACTAAGTCGATACATCGATAAGCCAGTACGAGTCACTGTACAATCCAGACAAGCATTCTCTCACCTCTAACGACGTTTGATGAAGTTGAATGCATGGCGTATCTCTAAGGGATTGATTAACGTCGAAAGCTTTATCCGCTATCCTTTACGTTGAGTTTGACATCACAGGAATCATTTTGAATGTCATACGCATTCGTATCGGTGATCCAATGTTACGTCGTACGTTCGCTTTGACATCGCAGCGATTTCAACAACGTTGGCCGATTCCGGATTAGTGCCGTAGGGGCGACGTAAACAGTCAATAACTCTAACGATCTTGAAACCACTACTCGTGAAAAAACCTAATTTCTCCTCTTATTTCGTCCTATAATATCTGACATCTTGCCTTTATTTCAAACAAGAACTAAAAAAGCAGCGAATTCACACAATAATTTCAATTTAATTCACAATTGCACATAATTTTATCGTCTGGTTTATTTTGTGGAGCACTGACCTACCCAAATAGGGTCAATAAGTGAAGGTACTTAGCAGAGAAAGAAACGTAAAAATTCGAAAAAATACCTCGTATTTGAAATTTTATTACATTACTAAATTTATATTTTTTCCGTTTTGCTGGTTCTGTGGAGTCCCAAACTCAGTCTAGCCAAAGTTTGCTCTAGAACGTCACCACCTCAGCCAGTCGCTGCTCTTGTGGATCAGAAGGAGATCTGCCACCATGCGGCTAGTTTCATACCGGGTAGGTGGTGGATCCTGGTATTGGTTTACTCTTGGCTAGGCTTCCTGATGGAAACGCCGGACTCCTTCTCAACTTGGGAGACCATGCCGGCGGGACGGATCTTCCCGCTGTACATCGTAGCTCGACACCTAGGAACACCTCCCGCCTACGATGAGGCGGTAGAGGTACATCGCAATTACTCATTATTAATCAATTTCGTCACTTAAAATATGCATGATAAATGATAGTGTAGCGGAATATCGATCGTGTACTTCGTGTTCTTGATATCATCAAAAGATCATGTTGAAACCGTCTTTTGCCCAAATTGAAGGCGATAATCGTTTTTTATTCAGCAAAAAATTATTCAAAGCATTCACGTCAAGCGAAACAACTGTATTTCAGATATCAACCAACCGTTTTAATGGAGATGAGTCGTTGATTGTTCTGCTGCACATGTTCTTCATATGAAATGTCTTCGGTCATCGCAATGTCACACGAAGCGCACGCGACCGTTTAGAGTTCCTTGAAATGACGGCGATCTCATTCGTGTAGATCAACGACGCGCGCAAGCCACTGATGAATATCTCGGCAGAAATACGAATGGCGCACGAATTCGCATTGGAGCACATATGCTAGTGAATATGGAGCAAGAGTAGTGTAGCTGTTTAAAAAAAATTTTGGATATAAAGTCACGTGCTCACTATTTTCTTCGTGTTTACCCTAAATAGATGGGCATAAATATGTAATAGTTAAACAAAGTAAAAAAAAAAACAGAATATGACCAAATAAGTGAGAATAAACATAGGAAAAAGACCTTGTTTTCCAAAAATCATACTGCTCTGATTGCAGTATGATACAAACAGATCCCGAGAAGAGAATTCGTTGCTTTTCGAAACTTTGACCAAAAATAGACCAGAAGTAGAAATGGAAGAGTTATTACAGCAGAAATTTTGTCGAAAATCACCAAGCTTGCGAACAGACATCTCTCCATAGCGTCCAGCATCTACAGTACCTTACGGGTCCACAGGAATGGAAGTTTGAGTTAGTTGGCAGGAAATACGCATGTATTGGAATTGGAAACAAACGCAGTTGCCCTCATCTCAGTGAAAATCGAAAAATAAACCAATTTATCAATGAAAGAGAGAAAAAGTGCGAGGAAAATAAACTGGTGGAACCAGGCTCTAATCGATGAGAATGCATGTGGAAGAGAAAAAAATTACTGCAACCATTTGTTAACAGTTGTTGTCCTTGTCAATACCGTATGAAGGCTGCTAAAAATAGAAAGGAAATGAGTAGAATCAGAGTAGAGTTTCCAAGAAATAAAACAAACAAGCTGAGAACTTGGGCCACAGAGTTCGATGAGTATTGATTGATCATGAATAGACAGTAGATACTTTCAAGGTAATATTGTAAATATAATGCCTATCCAGTTGCAATGGAACACGTGTATGATCATGCTATAAAGCTTAAACGACGAAAAATGTGATACATGTGATAAAATTTATCAAAAGCCGTTGTATGAACTACATTCACTATATAACAGTGGGAAATAGGGAAAACACTGAAGAAAATTCAAATCTGACTTAGAAAAGGTAATAGGAGTCGTAATACCGATTAATCTCGCAGATCAGCCTCGTCATATTCGTCTTCCAGTCATGGTTTCGTAGAAATGCTGTGGGGTGAGTTCCGGTCGGGCGATAATATGCGGGAGCCCGCAGCAGACGGCTAGCTGATAGTTTGATATTTCGCGGACGAGTTTACCACCGATTCACCTTGAATTTCGTAAGTGCAGCATGAATGATTTTTGGTTGGATAACCAGAGGATGAATGTAGAATGACAAGTCGAGGAATTACACAGCACATAATCGATAAACATGAAGCAAATCAATATCTTTCAAACCTAGTGTCATTTAAATTCGGCATTAATAAACAAAATATCACTGGACTCGATGTCCTCGTCTTCGTCAGAGCTGGTGCTCCGAGTTGATGATCCACAGTCGTTTTTGGACGATAAATGATAAAGCGTTCGACGCTGATCAATCCGTTACGGATGTGTCACGCATTCTACTTTATTAAGAATCGTAGATGAAATAGAATGCATATGTGCTTGTGCATTAATTTACGATACCCTTAAGACCTATTCA